TGTGTGTGTGTGTGTGTGTGTGTGTGTGTGTGTGTGTGTGTGTGTGTCAAGGTTAACTATGCCCTCTGGGAAAGTCTTAGTAAAAATTAAAGAACTGTTCTATAGTTATAACAAAACAAAACAAAAAACCAGTCTACTGTCATGATACACAATGTGCATCGGTGAAGAAGGCTAGAGGATGTGATCGCTACTTTTCTTAAGTTTTTATAATACCAAGCCTTGTGCCATTCTAAAATTATGATAAATATACTAAATACAGATTAAGATATAACTCAAAGATTCTGTCCTATGGTTATTCCTTAAACACTTTTCTGGAATATGGACCATGGAGAAGAAAGGGCTTAAATGTAAACGGGAGATCACAGTGAGAGAAATCATGGAATGTGCCCAACTTCACAAGCTAAACACCTTGTTCCTTTTCTCAGAACCATTAGAAATGACACAACAAAGTAACAGTCATTTGTTCTGTTACAAACAAACCAATAGTGAATAAGTAATCTAGAGGCAATCAAATTAACCCCAAACAGGAACAGAGAATGCTTTCTCTACACTACTCTTACCAAGACAGGTGTGCTGGCTGATTTTGTGTGGACACAAGCTACAGTCATCACAGAAAAATGAGCCTCAGGTGAGGAAATGCCTCCATGAGATCCAGCTGTAAGGCATTTTTCTCAATTAATATATAACTATATAAATAAAACACAAACTAAAAGAATCAAATGAAGAGCTGGTTCTATAACAAATGCTTTGCCAGCTTAAACAAGAGAAAAAAAGAAAAACCCAAATTAGTAAAATTAGAAATGAAAAGGGAAGCATAAGAGATACCTATGAAATTCAGAAAGCCATAAAGTATACTTTTTAATACTATTACATTAGTGGATGGAAATGGCTCAGCAGCTAAGAGCATTGAGTGACCCTGCGGAAGCCAAGGTTCACTTCCTACCACCCACATGGCATTACTGTCTGTAACTCTGATCCCAAAGGATACAACACCCACTTCTGGCCTCTGTAGGCACCAGGCACATACACTCAGACAAAAACTCATACACATAAAATACGTAAATAAAAATTTGTAAATCTTTATTACATTAAATTGGAAAATCTAAAAGAAAAACAATTTCTATATGCATACAACATACCAAAATTTTAAAAAGATGAAATAAACAGCTGGAAGGGAACCATTACCAGCAATGAGAATGGAGCAGTAATGTCTCCCAATTAATGTACTCACTCCAGAATTCAATCAGAACACACATAATACTTAATTATCCCATAAAGTAAAAAAAAAAAAAAAAAAAAAAAAAACCACAAGTCTTCCAAACTGTTTTATGAAGCTGAAGTCACAACAAAAAGAAAGAAAAAAAGAAAGAGATTACAGAATGATCTTCCTGATGAGCAGATATGAAGTTCAACAAAATATTGACAAACTGAACTTAAGATCAATATGAAAAAGATCATCCATCACAACCAAGTTGGCTTCATTCAAGAAATGTGGGGATGGTCAAAATATGTAAAATAATAAATGTCCATCAAGTAAATATACTTTCACATAGTAAACACATGACCATCTCATTAAATGTACCCTTTCCTGAGAAAAATCACAGTGGATTATAGACAGAGCGTATCTCTATGTGATGGAAGCTGTGTAAACAAAACAGACCTACAGTTACCATGGAGCTACTCAGAAAATCTCAAAGCATTCCATGAAGATCAGGAACAAAGCAAAGGTGTCCACTACGTCTACTACTTTTCAATATAGAGCTTGATGTCTTAGCTAGAGCAATAAGACACGCAAAGGAAATAAAAGAAATACCAACCAAAAAAGAAGTCAAATTACCCTTATTTACAGACAGTATAATTTTGTACATGAACTCCTAACTATCTATTCTAGGTTGTGATAAACACCATTACCATTCATGGAGGGAGGAAGAGGGTTTATCAACACAACCTGACCACAGTCCAACACCGAGGGAAGTCAAGGCAGAAACTAAAGCAGAAGCCATGTGAAAAACACTGCTATTGGCTTGCTTAGCAGGCCTTCTTGCACAACCCAGAACTTCTTGCTTTGGAGTCACACTGGGACCCCCACTCTCAGTAAGCTGGGCCATCCCCCATCAATTAATCAATAAAATACCCTACAACCAAGCTGTTGGGCAAGATGTGCCCAGGGGCACAATATGGCGTTCTATGTATGGGCACAGTCAATTACTCTCCTGACTGGATTTCAGGAATGTTCCACAGTAAGGAAGTTGCAGGCCCAAGTCACAGGCCCAAGGAGGTTGGTGTTGGTTTGCTAAATGGTCATGTCTTCAAACTGCCTTCTAAGTGTTTGAGTCTATACTCACAGGGCTGTGCTGTTCCCAGCAGTGATCAAAGACTCCTCTTATTGCCATGGGTAGTGGTAGCTGCAGGGCTTAATACCTGCTTCTACTAGCTGCTAATAAGAGAGAGAAACTCACACACAGAGAGAGAGAGAGAGTTGTCCTTGCAAACGGACACTCGGTAGATGCCCATGTGTACACGCAGAGCAATACTAGACCCAGAGGGTTTAAACAAAAACAAAAATGGGAGCACACAAAGCTGGGAGGCAGACAGTTAGGATGTATATTAGGGGAAGCCCAGCTGTAGTTGGACTGGAGGGAGATTAAAAGATGCACATGATCAAGATATACTGCACATACGTACGAATTTTTCAATGAAAATTAAAACAAAATTTAAGACACAATCAAAGGGAACTTTACGTGATGAGTTCTCTGCTCTCTGTCATGTGAGGAACAGATCTCCTCCTTCCAGAGTACAGAGCATTCAAGGTGTCACGTTAGATTCAAACTATGTTAGACTCCAAGGCTAACAGCACCCTGACCTTGGGTTTCCCTGGATTCTGGACGGGGGAAAAGTAAGTCTTGGTCTGTGTAAAGTGCCTGGTCTCAGGCAGGTACCCTGGGTCAGCAGCACAACTGAACAACACCTCATCCCAAACCCAAAAGATGTGAGTTCGAGGAGCATATTTAACACATCACAGGTAACGGGAGATTTTGTAAAAGCAAAAAGCAAGCTGAGGCTGGCAAACGGTTTGGCAGGTAAAACTGTTCGCCCCTCAAGCCTGATGACTCAAGCCTGATCCTTGCATCCCATAGTGGAAAGAGAGAAACGATGCCAAAAAAGTTTTCTACTGTCATCCACATTTACTTAGAAGCACACACACCATCACTCACATCACATACTTCACACACACACAAACACACACTAAATTTTGGATTGACTAGTGGGTAAAGGTATTTGCAGCTCATGTCTGGTTCTCGGGGTTCATATGAACGTGTCTTACATGGAGACAGATGACTAGACCATAAATAGTCATCTATTAGCAAAACTTTCCTTCCATATATTAATAATACCAATAAAATAGGTAGATAAGAAACCAGTCTTACTCTCAAATTGGACCTATGAAGTAGGAGTAATATAAGGACTTTTAGTCTCAATTCTTAAAATAATCAACCTTAAGTAAATAATCCAATATTTCTCGTCTGTGCTTCAAGTATTACTAAGTGCTAAGAACAGCTTGATATATTTGACACATTTACTTTAAGAATACTAAAAATAAATAATAATAATAATAAAAGAACATTAAAAATATAATTACACGTAAAATAACAACAAAAAAACCCTTTGACCTGTTTAAGGGAATTGCTATCTAAATGACAAACCAGCATTTCCCACACAATAAACTAGCAAACACACGAAAGGGAGAAAGTCCAGACTCCACGTCTAACCATTTGACTTATGCACATGATAAGTGGGCATGTAGGGATGACCCGTTTATCACGCGTGAAGACGTGGGTTAGGGTACTATTGTTACATACATGAACACTCTGTCTATCATAAACCCTTCCATGAGGGCGGATGTAAGCGACAGTCCCTAGGCTTGATCCCCAGACTACAAAAGATATGTAAGAAGCGAGGCACAAAAAAAAAAAAAAGTTTTGTTTTTTTGAGACAGAGTCTCTCTGTCTACCCTTGGCTGCCCTAGAACTTGCTCTGTAGACCAGCCAGCCTTGAACTCAGAGATCCACCTGCCTCTGCCTCCCCAAGTGCTGGAAGTAAAGGTGTCCCTCATTACCACCCAGCCAAGCAAAATTCTTTAAAACGTCTTTCATTAAAGCCATCCCAAAACATACTTTTCATACTCCTACTTTGTATGGTAAATTCAATAATCCACAAAAGATATTTCCCCAAGTACATGTTGAGGTGCTAAAACAAAGCAACTATTTTCTAAACTCTTTTTGCTTTATTTTATTTTATTTTATTTTATTTTTTTAAATAGGATTTCACGCACACCACATTGTTCTCACACATGCTCTGATGAAAACCTTGAGGATACTCTGCCTGTACCTCCTAAATGCTGGTATTAAAGGTGTGTGGTACTATACTGGACTTCCATCCACTTTAGAATCCAGACAAAACATTCTGGTGTGAAACATAAAAGTGAAATTAAACCATACCTCAAACTCAGCAATTTCATCCAAGTTATTTTCATCTGCCTTCTCTAGCTTTTCATTAGCCCACTTGCTTTCAGCTTCTGCAAGTTCCTTCTCAGTTAGCCTGCTGGATTTGTCTAACACCTAGGAGAAAAAGAGAAACATCTTTGTAAGCATTCTTAAGGGCCTCTAACAGCAGAAAGCACAATGCATTGAAAGCAAGCATATCCTCTTTTCACTCCTGCAAAAACATCCAACAGAGAACCAGGCAGGATGACACAAGGAAGCCTAAGAGAGAAGTGCAAGTATCAAAATAACAATAACAAAAACACAAAACTCAATCCAGAATTCCTGTAAGTAGCAATTCCTTTAGGACACATGGACTACACACATTAAACACATGGACCACATCACCCATAATTTCATTCTTCATCTAAAGAACCAGTGCAAAAAACACTGACAAATATATACATAAACTGTATGAAGGATACATATAACATCATATTGATTACAACCCTATAATTATGTTCAAATGAAAGAAGACAATGGTTAAAGTTCATTAAGGTAAATCTATTTTTTAAGTTGTATTTATTTTTTAATGTGTATGGGTGTTTCTTGCCTGCATGTATGTCTGTGCCTCACCCAGAGGCCAGAACAGGGCACTGGATTCCCTGGAATTAGAACTACCAAGGATTGTGAGCCATCATGCATTACGTAGAAGGAATCTAACTCGGGTCCTCTAGGAGACCCATTTTTTGACCCCTAAGGTAAATTCTTAATGTATGAAAAAGGACCAGATGTTATCTTTAATATTTGTGATAAATAATATAAATCATACTCTTTGCACAAGAGTTTAAAGACTTAAATTTCATTGTTTTGGTGTAACATTTTCTCTAACCAAATTCTCTAACAAAATGCAGTCAGAGCATGAGCTTTGGAGCTACAGGCAGATCTCAGCATGCAATATTATTCAATCACTTATAAAGCAAAAAGAACATTTCCCTTTACAAAGCAGTTGTGAGAATAAAATATCTATAAAATAAAAATAAAATATAATAATATCTGGCACTTTCTCTTTTTGGTTCTTTTGAGACAAGGTTTCTCTGTGTAGCCCTGGCTATCCTGGACTCCATAGCTTTGTAGACCAGGCTAGCCTGGAACTCAGAGATCCACCTGCCTCTGCCTCCCAAGTGCTGGGCTTTTTTAAAAATTTATTTATTTTTTACAGTTTATTCAATTTATATCCTGATTGTAAAACCCTCCCTCATCTCCTCCTGGTCACATTCTTCCCCCCTCCTCAATTCCCTTCCCCTAGTCCACTCCACCCCTGCCATCTGAGCCTAGCATATCAAGTCTGATCAGGACTACCTGGATCCTGTCCTTATAAGCATATATTAGCCATATAATATAAGATAAACATACCAAAATCTATAGCCCTAAAGAAGCTAAACAAGATGCTCATTCAGAATAGCAAAAAGGACAGACATTAGAAGAGAAGTGCTAGGATTAAAGGTGTGCGCCACCATACCCAGCCTTTTCTCTATATTTACTGACAAATCTCCTATACTAAGATGTATTTGAAAAAGATGAGTGAGTTCGTGGCAGAAATATAAAGGCAAAATATTTTTCTGGCTCCCTCAGTTCCAGTAATGCCAATAAGTGAAGCTACAGCATACCTTTCTTTAGCCCCTTCATGGTAGGCTGCTGATTTCATCCTATTTCCTAAGACGATGTTTGCCAACTATGTGTCATCACCTCTAATCTGATCCCATCTCTTACTTCTCTAAGGGTGTGTCACTGACTACAAATATCTCCTTCCTCCAGATGACAGTCTATAATGACTAATCTTGACTTTCAGCTCGAAGGAATATGGCATCAACTAAGAAATATGCCTCTGGGGGCCTGGAAAGATGGCTCAGCAATGAGGAGCACTGTTCTTCCAGAGGTCCTGAGTTCAATTCCCAGCAACCACAGGGTGTCTCAGAACCATCTATACTTGGATCTGATGCTCTCTTCTGGCATGCAGGTGTACATGCAGATAGAGCACTCATATACATTAAACAAACAAAGTGTGTAAAGCTTGAAAGAGAAAAGAAAGAAAAGAGCGTGCCTCTGGTGGGTCTGTAAGGCAGCTTTCAGGAAGGACTGCCTACGTGGGGGAAGGCTTATCTAACAGGTGGCCTGGACATGAAGAGGTCTGAGGAAAAGGCAGTGCTGTGGCTGGCGTCCTCCACGTATCTGTGCCCAGCTTCTCTGGCCTTCCATCACAGGCGTAGCATCAGCAATAGTCCAGGAGTCTCTCAGGCCTCAGCACTAGACTGAGACCACAGAGGCATCCAACCTTGTGGACTGAGCAGCTCAGGTCCTCGGCCTCTGCTGTGTGCAGATGTTACTCACAGACTACACAGCCCCTGTCATGTAAGCCAGTATAGTGCTTACTTACCCTTCCATCACATGTACACTGGGGCGGCTCTACTCAATTCTCCAGAAAACCTTGCCTAATGTATAGTTCCAATGAAAACACAAAACAAAAAACACCTCGGAAGTACTGGCAGACTGCTATGAACAAAGTACTTCTATATACAAACCAAACAACATTCTGATAGAGCTCCACAAAAGGAACCTGGGCAGGCCTCATTACCTCAAATTAGAAAACAGTAACAGTAATAGTAACGTCTAAGCTCACTAACAAATATAGACAGGAAGGGGTACATGAGCTTCTTCTACACCTAACTAAGCCTCACCAAAGGACAGGCTGACCATGAGCAATATTTATCATGATATACACATAACATTGTGAAAGAAAAAATATTTTGTTCCAAATATACTTGACTATTTTGATTTAATTATTCAGAGAGAAACCGCAGTTCTCTGTGAACTTAAAAATGGCTCCAAAAACCTGTCTATCATTTTATAACAAGAAATCTACATGAGCAAAGTAAGGAAAAGCTGTGAGAGGAAAGCTGATCACAGGCCACATGAACAGCCTAGAAAGGCTACTACAGTGATCCACCTGGGAGAATTGGTCTGCATAAGATAGTTTTGGTGGCTGGAGAGATGGCTAAAATGGCTAAGAACGTATGGTGCTCCTACAGAGGACCTCAATTTGGTTCCCAGCACCCAAGTGGTTGGCTCACAATCACCTGTAACTCCAGTTATTGTAACTGCCTCTGATCTCTGGCATTGGCACTCACATACACACACCCATGCACATACATAATTTTAAACTAGTTTTACTTTAAAAGTGAAAACAAAGCAAAGGAAGACAGTCAACCAATGCCAGCCCCAAGCTTCTAGGCCTCTGCACACTGCAGGATACGATATCAGCTAAGGACTCATGCCTTGTATGTGTGATCTTGGCTGTATGGCTGCCATACACATACAAATTCTCATGTTTGTCTTCCTCAGACCTGTCTATTGTCTGCTCATTTTGGACTAAAATCATCAAGCCTACAGAAGAAAGAGAGAAAATGCACAGCTTATCTCCAAAATATATTCTACGGCCATTAAATAAGCTTACACCCCCTCAATTCAATTCTCTACCAATCTAGGTTTGGGTTGTTTGTTTGTTTGTTTTGTTGTTGAGGCAGGGTATCAATCTGTAGCCAAAGCTAGCTCATGCTTATACAACCCTCCTATCTCAGCCTTCAAGTGCAGGGAACTTATAGGCGTAAGATGCCTACACATATCAGAGGGTTAAAATAGTATCCTAAGACAATATATAAAATTTTTTTAAAGTAAACAAGAGCCTATTCAAGAAAATATATACTTAATTTTTAAGAGAGGTTTATATTTTTAAAAGAATTATTGAGCAGCCAACCACAATGGCGCACAACTGTAATCTCAGCACTGGGGGAGGCAGAGGCAGGCAGATTGCTGTGAGTTTGAGGCCAGCCTGACCTACAAAGTGAGTCCAGGACAGCCAGGGCAACACTGAGAAAGAAACCCTGTCTCAAAAAATCAAAATGAATTATAGAGCAAAAGCAAGCTACCGATTTACGAGTTCTTGTAGCAGGTAAAGCCTACCATCATGCTTTTTCTGTTTTCCAGTTATTGGGTGTGTGCACTTGAAAAGCTATCGCATGGAACTTCTCGGGAGGCAGATGCAGGATTATCAAGACCAGCCTATGCTACAACTTAGTAAGGTCCGATTCCAAAACACACTTCAAAATTTTCAACAACGTGGCTTTCTAGGGCCAGGATGATAGTCAGTGGTAAAAACATCTGTCCAACAACTGCAAGGGCAAGGACCTCACCATCCACTGCCACAAAGAAAGCAAACGCAACCAACGTTGCAGAATCCTAAGATCTCTGAGGGGACCCCAGTGATAAAACTGTCACAGAAAGATCACTTTCCTCACAGGCTAAGAAACTATTGTCCCTGCAGACCAATACCAGATTGCCAGATGATAAGTATTGCTGCTAAAATGTCAAAAAATTTAAAAGAAAGAACAAAAAGTAAAGACTACCTAAAACAAGTTAAGAGAGAAAGATGGGGTGTGGGGGTGAAAAAGGAACTAAGCAAAGACACATAGCTCCACCTTTCCAACACGTTTTGAGATGCCGGGAAAGCGAAATAATGGTAGGAGGAGCAACTACTCCTTTCAGGAATGTATTTGGCTTGAGTTTCGATAAGATTGAGGTTTAAATCTACCTATAGGACTTTTGTATGAGTTAGTAAGAGAGGAAATGATGAATATTAGAGCTGAGCAGTTTTAAAATCACATTAAGCCTCTGTCTATGTCCTCAGTTCCCCAAACTGAAGCAAATCCTATGAACACACACTCCATCTAAATATTCCCATTTTTGGTTATGGTGAAGACCAAAGGCTACATAGAAAAGCTATGAAAAATGTCAATTAGAAAAATTATCTTTTTTTGGCCTCCGTAATATTTTCAAGTTGTGAAGACTTAGGATTCAAGCTTTCAGATGAGTCCCTTAGCAAAATAACATTTGTGCTGTACAACCCCCCATCTTTACATTGTAGTTCTACCTAACTTTTGAAAAGTAACAAACCTTGGATGAAGAAACTGCTGAAGAACTTGAGGGTGAAGCATCTCTTGAAGTTTTCAAAGACTGGATAGATCTCTCTTTACCTATATAACAATGTCAAGAAAGAATATAGGAAAAGAAACAATGTAAGATGTGATTTTCTATTTTGTGTGTTTCTAATTTTGTAGATGAATTAGTAGGGAAAGCCACATATGCACTTCAATACTGAAATTTCTCATCATATTATTTTAGTAACATTGAAATTTACCTCTCTTAGTAACATCACAAAACATTAAAGTAACGTAGAATGAAATAATGCCATAAATGGCAGTCTAGGCCACAGCAACGTCAGCTGCTAAGTGTAATCATAGAGATGCTGAAAAAGGCAAAACATATTTTAATTGGAGTGTCTCCTCAAACTTCCTTGCCACAGCTTAGCAAGCTCTAGAGACCCGGGCCTCTGCCCGCCTGGCTGGTATTAAACAACACCTCTTCCCAAGGTCCCAAACTCAGGATGCCAGTCTACACCAGTGGCTCACAGCCAGGGACAGTTCTCTTCCCACTTTGCCCCTGGGCAGTGGGAAGAAATCATGACATTTCCTATTGCAGATAATCTTTAACATAGTGTAATATAAACACATGTAATGTTATTATAGTTAGTATGTAGATACTGCAGAGCTGTCAGTTAAGGGTGGCCCAAAGGGTACTATACACAGGAAATTTAGCAGATACTCTTAAAACATTCACACCATTAAAAAAAATTTTAGAAATCCATTAATTCAGAAAACTGATCCAGAGCTTGGCATGAATTATGTTAACAAATATTTTTGTTTAAGATAAATCTCTATGAGATAAAGTCACTATCGTTAGTTATTTCAGATACTTACATGATGCTGCATGGAACCATTATTAATAGAAAAATAAGCCAGAAAACATATGAACAATATTACTTTAGTAGTTTCAACAACCAAAACTTATTTAATTAAATTTTGTTTTTAGTTAGCTAACTTATTTAAACTGTTTTAATACCAGTTTATAGAAATTACTAAAAGTAAGCTGTTCCTGGTTTTTAAACCCCTTACTAATACCTTTTAATACATAATCACTCCCGTAATCTTAAATCCTGGGAAAACCCAAAATATTAATAACAACGTTGTCTTAGAAAGTGGCCACACAAATGCTGCTAAAGCCTAGAAAGGGAAAGAAAGCCAGGAGCGCAGGTAAGAGCAAAAGCAGATGCCAGGTCACCTGCAGAGTGCAGCAAAGCCAGCTTTCACGGAGTGTCTCCTCAAACTTCCTTGCCACAGCTAAGCAAGCTCTAGAGACTCAGGCTTCTAAACACCTGTGGTGGTATTAAACAACAGGTCTTTCCAAGGTCCGGAAGACAGGTGCCACTCTATACCAGTGGCTCACAGCCAGGGACAGTTTTGCTCTTCCCACCCTGGCACTGGGTAGAGTGTAAAGACATTCTGGTTGTTTGCAAGGAGAGAATACCGCTGGCATGCACAACTGCAGGTAAAAAAAATGATATGAGTGGCTTCTATGGGGGGAGCCACACCCCGAATCATCAGCTTCAACAATGCTGAGGCTGGCTGAGACCCATGTGCTAGGTTTAGTATTCCAGTTCTGAAGTTTCAACAGGTTTTTGAAAAACACAGAATCTAGACTCCTGTGGTAACCCCGGTACCATAAGTTCCAGGCCAGCCAACTAGTAAGACCCTAATTTTAGAATTACTAAATTAAAAAAAAAAAGATGAAACCATCATGACATCCTCCAATAGCCAAGAACACAACTGAGTCACTCCTTACTGTATTCCTAATACCTGTGGCAAATTGTACACCACACTTAAAGTCTGTCCTACTGCCCAAAGCTCTGAGAGCAGCGGTTCTCAACTTGTGGGCCATGACTCCTTTGGAGGTGGCACATCAGATATCCACAAGACATAACAGTAGCAAAATTACAGTTATAAGCTAGCAAGAAAATACTTTTATGGTTGGACGTTACCACATCATGAGGAGCTGTATTAAGGGGTTGTAGTATTAGGAAGGTTGAGAACCACTGTTCTGGAGGAGCACTCTCAACTTTCTAATAGTTATGGTCAACTCAGTCTGAGGACTTCAGAACATGAGTAGGCACTCAAAGTCAGGTAGAAAACCAACTTATTTTCCTACACTTAGAATACAATGTCTTCTCTGCCTTATTCTGTTAACCAGTCCTTTGAAAGATTATGCTGGGCCAATCAGCACAGCCCAAGCTAAATAAAGGCATAATTGTGGTAGTTGTGTATAAGTAGGCTTGAAGGTCAGTCATTGGGGGTAGACCTCTCCCTCAAACACAACAATTTGTAAAACTAAGAACTAAAACTAGAAAACTTGATTATGGGTCAAAAAATAGCATTTGATTATGCAGAGGTCTGAAAATCACTGTGGAGCTACAAGAAATAGACATATACTTTTTTGTCTTCTTTCTGTAGGAATACACCCTTGTGGACAAACTATTGGTCCTAGAGACCTTAGAAATACTAGAAAGACTGTAGACAGAGAAACGGTCCCTTTGGCCACTGGCCATTCTCACCCTTCAGGCATGCTCCTTTCAATTCTGTACTCAAGCAGCACCTATTATCTCATATGCTACCACCTTCTGTGTGCCTCATCTAACAATTTTCAAGGTCCCAGGGATAGGGAGCTCATGGATGGCCAGAGCAAAATCCTGGTTCCAATTATAAACTCAATTTTAGCATGCATAAGCTAGAAAACAAGAAAAAATAGCAACAACACATACAGAAAAGATGGCAAACAACTCAAACAGCTGTCAATCTCAGACTTTGCTTTACAAATAAGACATTGCTATTGTAGCTAGGCCAGGTGTGACCCCAAATATAGCCCAGAACCTTCCTGTTTCAGATGCTCAATGGCTAACAAGAAGCAGACATCAACCAATCTTGGTATGCAGAAGCAAAGGATTGCTGAGTACAGAGACGGTTTCTCACACACACACACTCATTTATACCTGTTGCATAAATGAGTGGACAAGCAAGAAGCAAGGGACAAAGACAAACACAGAGCAAAATCGCAAAGTGGGTAGAAATCCCTAGCTTCCACTACCAACAGACTCATTATTCTACAGGCTCTATCCTCCTGTGGCAGCTATTCCTGACCAGGAATGGCTGGTCCAGACAACCAACTACCTGACTGTATTGCTATCCAACCCTGGTGACAGAGGACTTGAGAGAGCAGGAAGATACTTTACCCTTATCAACACGTCCAAACTCACCTCTTCCTGGATTTGCTTCATTCTGTTGTTTGTAGGAAGCACCAACACGCGCAGACTCTAGGGAAAGGTGGCAGGGAGGAATGAAGAAACCAAGGCAGAACAGGAAAGAGCCAAACGTTCTGCAGTGGCCACTCAGAGAGCCAACAAACACCGAAATGTTCCTAGAAACCATCTTTTAACAAAACAAATGTTCTTATCTAGATTATTAAGTAGCAGATACAAAAAAAAAAAAAAAAGGCTTTGTATGAGCCCCCTAAACCTATCTAACAAAGAGTCTAGAAACTATCTTATCACAGGGAGAGACTAGAGTTTAACAGCACAGCTAGATAGACTGTCACCTAGTCTGAGAACAACTCAGAGCTCACTAGAGACTGTGAGTGTCTTAAAAAAAGCTTTCTTTCACATGTGCCCAACCGTTCAAACACCCACAGCTTATTAACAGCTTCCCACCGGAAACCAGTAACCTGTATTCAAAAAGTCCATAAAGTTCAATTATCTGGCTGGCCTCCTATCTGTTTCTCAATCATAACCTATCAGGGACGACAGAAGAAAAGTTGTAATTTCTCTATGAAGCTCAGCCAAGTAGAAGTGTTGGGAGGAGACCAGGCAAAGATACCATGAGAGGACATCAAACATTAAGTAGCGACATTTGTTCATGCAAGAACCGTAAGGTTCACATTCAAAGATGTGGCACAGGCTCACATACCAGGCGGGAAGGGAGAGAGTCGGTCAGCGTACTGGAAGGAAAGTCACCATCAGAAATAAAACACACGAACACAAAGTTTTCTGACTTGTTCTCTACACAAGAGTTACCAATACTCTAATATTGCAATAACAAAAACTTACTGATTCTCTCTACAAAGTCTCTCATACATAAATTTTCCTCAGATACAAATTTATGGCTACCATCCTGGCTGAACTCTTCATTATGCTATATTTAGAATCTCAAATCACAACACCAAAAATAAAGCGCCCAAAATCAAAAGCAGAATCCCCCACTCAGTAATAATCAGACCCTTGCTGCTCAGTGCCTGACCCAGTAAACTGTTATGAAATAAACAACTCCTGAGCTTCTCTCCACATTGCCTTTCTCAAAAGGGGAAGGTGTTATTATAGAGAGCCTTCCATAATAACTTCTTATCTACTCAAGCAAAACTCCTAAAGTAAAGATTACAACAACACACACATTAGGGTTACAGAAAGGGCTCAGCAGTTAAGAGTACACAGATCAGAGTTAGATTCCCAGTATTTGGGAAGCAGAGGCAGGTGGGTCTTTGCGAGTTCAAGGCCAGCCTGATCTACAAAGACAGTCCAGGACATCCAGGGCTATTACAGGGAGAAACCAGGTAAAAAAAAAAAAAAAAAAAAAAAAAAAGGAAAAAGAAAAAAAAAAGAAAAAGAAGGGGAAGGAAAAAAAAAAAAAAAGAAAGAAAA